AAAAAAAAAAAAAAAAAAAAACGAAAGCATTGGTGAAAATAAAAGAGGCAAAGGAAAAGCGAAAGAAGAAAGCTGTTGACAAGATCCAAAAAAGTGAAAACTTAAGCTGCAGCATGAAGAAAGAATGGAAGGACAAAAGCAGATTTGAGTTGGATAATTGTTTTAGAAACGATTTCAGTTTCACCATAGCTACCGAAACTGTTGATTGTCAACTGGAGGTAATCCGTGCGTCTTCGTTTTGGTGTAAAGCATCGAATTACAGAAAACTTTAGATGCTGTCTAACTTGCAGTAGTCTGATCATGCATAGAGCCTGTCTAAAGTATCGGTACATCGGCAACATTTTCTGGCAACCATTGCACATGCGCAACAATAAACTGCTGAAACGGTAGAAAATTTGCATAAAAATTGAATAACTTATTCAGTTAGCAGCTAAACTGTTGTTGCTTGTAATAGTCAGAAAAAAAACAGGCTAGATAAAATTTATGCTTATAAGATAGCAGCAAAAACAAGAATGCTTATCAGAAACTGTTGGTCCCATGATAAACTTGTACACTTTTCATGTTCTATTTATACTAAACGGATATTATGACGTATTTATTTTGATGTTTGTTTTATTCTGTTCCCTTTTCTTTTAGCCAATGCTAAACTGTTGATATTATTACCTGCGTATAGTCGCCACGTGAGCATTTGTTTAGTGTTGGAACTGTAATACTATCTGCTGATAAACTGTTCAGTTTGGTCTTCTTTGGTCTATCCATACAAAGACCACTTTTACGATGATAGAAGCGTTTTTGCTAAAAGCACGAAAAAAATATTGTACAGTAAAAAAGAAAAATTAAAAACCAAAAATATGACTAACTAACCACCTCCTGTTTTTTTTTTTTTTTCATTTGTTACTTCATCGTTTTTATTTGTTAACAGAAAAAATAATATATACAAATGTATTGAAAAAAAAGCTGATCATTCTGTCTGTATTTCTTTTTGTTTTAGTTTTCAATTTTGTTCAAATAAATCAAATGGAAAAACAGAAACAAAAAACAGAAAAACATCAAAGTTTCGTGTCTGTTTTTACTTTTTTTTTCCATATTTTTCTGTATGTGTTTTTATATTATTATGATTATTCATCGGTTGAGAAAAAAAGAACAGGCAAAAAAGTTGCGTATTTTCTTTTTTCGGAACTTAAAATCAACAAATATTGTTTAAAACTAAAACAAAAAAAATTGATCGCAAGTAATAAACTATGATGAAAACAGATTCAGTTCCTTTGTTTGTGGGTGGCGATAAAACAGAGAGGAAAAAAAAGACAAAACAAAATTTCTCGACAAAAACTATCGTTATTTGAAAAAAAAACAGTAAGCCGAAAAAAAATAGAAAAACATGGAATACATTGACGTTTAAAAAGAACAGATTTTGATATCAGAGTCACAACTGTGGCAGCAAAGTATGTTTTTGATGCTTATAGCTTCTTTTTGGTTTATTTTGGCTTAATTTTTTCCGTTTTTTTTTGTTTACAACTTTTTATCAGATTACTTGCAAATCAGGTTTGACCACCAAATCATTTATCACCGCCTCAATGTACAGCTGATGATCTTACTGCCATTCAGCCGTTAATTAGCCTAGAAGCTGTTAGCGTCTGCTAAATTGCTCTTCAAATATGGCTCTGATGCGTCACCGGATAGAGACAAAGTATATCAGAAATAGGGATAAAAACTGAAGTTGAGAAAAATGTAAAAAATAACAGTAATTTGTACATTAAAAAAAAAAGTCAAAAAATGCAAAATTAATCAAAGTCTAAAAGTGCCAATGAATTCTAAATACTTAAATATTTTATTCTTTTTTTCTTCAAAGCAATTGATGATGAAGAAAAATAAGACCTGATACATTTGGTAGTCAGAGAAGATAATAAGCTAGTTTCTACTCTAGATAATTTTCTATACAGTATTTTTAAGGTAAAAATAACAGAAGTTTACTTAAGCATTTCAGAAATCAGTATGTCCATAAGAAACACGACTAAGTTTTGATTTTTTAAGCAAAAAACTCACGTGTGAATTGTAGTCCCAGAATTCTGCATCATGACCTCCACATTCTTTCAACTGTATCTTCCATTTGCCTTTTTCATTAATGTCTTGATAAGCGCCCAAACAAAGATGCTCGTCGCATTTGATTTGTCCTTCATATGTGTAGAGCCACAACTGGAATTATCGTTATTTGGCATAGCAAATGCACTTATGTTCTTTCTAACTGTTCAGAAGCATCTTCTGATGAATTCTGGTCGAACTACAAAGATCAGCATTGAGTGTACGACATTGATCAATGTCAAAACAATTGCGACTTCTGCATCACGGTTTGCTGAGCCTTATGCAGCAAATTCTTTATTGCATTTTCATATTACCAACCCCTCTCCCTACTTTACAGAAATAGCGAAATAAAATAAAATGCCATTCAAGTTGTTGTAAAAAAAAATTTACTTCCTCTCATACCTGCCAGAGATCAAATCCCAGCGTACACTGTGACATTGTTAATCTATGCTGTTTGGTGCCAGGTTCACCAGGTCGAGAAACAAGACAGTTGTTGGACATTGAATGTTGAATCTGAAATAAAGACTGACCTCAGTTCGATCGAATTTTTCCGCATCTGAGCAGTTATGCATTGTTGCTTGTTTAACAGTTCCTCCCGTTGGTATCTTCCACTGTATACAACTTGGTTTATTCTCTTTTGCCGATTTTACATGTTTGATCTAAATTTTCCGTACTGCAAATGAGACACTTTGTCAAAAAATAACCAAAATGGCAATCATCTAGTTAGTTAATGGCGAAAACAAGCGAAACTTGAAAGCGAAAATAACTGCGTTTGCGGCACCAAACAAAAATCATAAGCGGATATTGCATTAGCGTATGAAATAAGGTAAAATCCAAGCAAAGCAAATTAAAATGTTACTGACCCGCCCAAATATAGAATCAGGACTTGGCAAGAAATGGTCTGGCCAAACGTTCTTCAGATACCATGCAAAATCCTTACAGTGCAGTCTTTTCCGCAATTCAATCCGCTCGCTAACATCCACTGAGGCTCTTAATTGAAGAGCTTCTAAAAATGACCCATTTCCTTGTAGCATTTTAAAAGTACCAAATAGCGTTCTTACTATGCAACTTTGTTATTTTGCTTCTCAAAATAAGCGCTGAAAACTATTCAGCTTTATTCATTTCACTACAGTTAACCGTTAAGCAAAATGTTTTAACTGACGAGGTGCAGTTTTGTAGAACAAATATTTCCATTCGTCCATCCAAACTTCCGCCACTCGTAAAAGATTACTGTTTAGCACCTTTCCCGATGTTTTTCCAGGGAAATCATGCGGTGATGCCTTACGAAAAACATGCCCAACATGCGAACACGGCAAGATTTCAACTAAACCTCCACACTGCCAAATCTGTAAAAGCGATATTGTTCAAAAACATTTTGCTTAAATTGAGGCCGTCTGTTTAATATCAGCTTTAAATCAACTCAAGAAAATTCTTCTTTAAGAAATAAAAAGAAAAAAAGAAGTAAGCAAAGAAAACATTTACATTCAAAGTTTTTGCAAAAATTTGTAGAACTTACTCGAAATGATATTTCAATATTCTCACCACCCCAAATATCCATTCCCCGGTCGTAGGTACCGATTTCCTCAAAATATTTTCTGTCAATGCTAAACAGACCACCAGCCATCGTCGGAGAACTGAAATCGTGATTACAGTCCCATGATAAATTTAGGAAAAATGAAATAAAGATGTGTAAAAGCATGACTAATTTTTCTTCTAGCTCTTGTCGGAACTAACAGTATACCTAATAGGTGACGTTGGGTCATAGTTTTTAGCATTCGTGATAGATGGTGGCACTGAATACCAACGAAACTGCAAATTCCAGTTGAAGCCTCCTCTAAATAATTCGACACCTTTCTGATATGCAAAGGTCCGGTCATTTATTACATCAATCACTGGACATACTACAGCCTTCCTGAAATTGTTTTTTCTCCTCAGTTATCACCGACAGTCAGCTTTATTTCAAACAACAGTCACTGTACATCTGGAAAAGAAGTTTCTTCTTCAAAAAATCTAATTGTTTATCAAATTGTAATAGCAGTAATTGTTACTTCTAATCGACCTAACCAATCTCAAATTATGGTAATTGAAACAACAAATTGAAGAATAGTTGTTCGGTCTTTCTAAATTTCCCAGTTATGACAAGTTGAACTCGTACTTTCATCGCATATTTAAAATGCCTTAAACCTTAGCGCATTCCTCCTAACTTACAACGTTGTCAGAATTCTTACAGCTATCCAGCGAAAGAAAGGAATTTTGTATTTGACCATCATCAAAAACTATAAAAAACTTGGCCGCAGTTCCTCTCTCCAATATTGGAGCCTTTAGCTTTCCCTTCCTTTGTTGCGAAAAATTCAAAAAAAGCGATGAATTTTGTAACAATATAATCTAAAAGATGGTTAGAAGAGCCTCTTAAAAGCTCTTTTCAGGAAGCAGTATCCCAAAGAGGTAAGCAGCGGTAGTTTTAGTCTTATCTGAGACCTAATCTCTTTTCAGTTATACGTTAAGAAAAGGCGATCATGAAGTGACTCCTCAATATTACCCTCCTCCTCTGAAAAACCAGTTACGTAGATCGCTATTCCGATTTTGTATCCATCTTTTCCTGCATCCCATCAAGAGATTTATACCATTTTAAGCAGTTACGATATTATCAGTATTTACCTATTTTCTTTGATACGAGTAAGCAGCGGTTCCAGCCACCCTTTGGTACATTCACAGTGAGAATCTAGAAATGTCAGCACGTCACCAACAGCTTCGGCTGCTCCAATCAGTCTGGCTCTAATCAAACCAATACGCTCTGTTGCACGAAGAACTTTCACCGTAACGTTAAGTGTCGATAGATAGTGATCCAGTTCATCTTTTAAAAATTCTGTAGTAGAAAAAAACTAACAAAATCAGTTAATTTCAGCAATATTTAATCAGTTTGAATGTTGAAGCGTACAAACAATACAAAACCAACTTCTTGTGCTAAAGTCGTCTACCAGTATGATTTCCTTTAATACCTCTTTTGGAGATCTTGTAATTACACTTATAACTGTGCGCATCAAAGTTGAAAACGCTTCATTATGATACACGATTATGACACTTGTACTTGGTAATGTAGACGGATCTATAAATAATTCATTTCCTAAAAAAGAATCATTTTTTTGACCGGTGTTATCAAGAAATAGACTCGAATGCGATCTTTCATTCCAAAAGGAAAAAAATATAAAAATAAAACTGTAAGTATAAAATCTGATCATACCTGGATATTCTTTGGTTCGACACTGATGCCGCCTAACATCTGGAAGAGATCGATTTAGCGCAATCATATCGCTGACCATGAGGTTAAACTAAAAACAGTAACTATATATTGCAAAAAATGTTGTTAAATCATTAAAATTCTAACTAAACAATTATGTATAATGTCTTCAAAAACTAAAAAACTGTAGACTTTAATTTACCAACATTTTCCACTAACCAATCGATGCATTAAGTTTCTAAATGAATAGTTAAAATATTGTTTCAGTTATCAAATGCTCTTACAACCGACATTGAATTAACCTGATTAATGCCAAATGTATCGTCTGAACGAATGTCGTCTGCATTAGACAGTCGAACAGCTTTACCATCTTCACCAGCGCCAGGTACTGGAGAATAATTATTTGCATTAAATTGTTCTAAAACAATAAATATAGATTTAGTACAGTCGAAAAAGTTGATTTATGTGAAGAACAGATTTTAATTTTTTTGACCCTGTATTAAGAAAAGAATGATATGTATCAGGAGCTCATAACAAACCAAAAAATCAATTGCTTAAGAACGAACCATCTGTTAAATTAGCGAGCTTTTCTGCCGGTAAATTTCCGTTGTAATGACCAACAACTATCTGTAGCCCTCGATTTGCAGTAGTTTCCGCATCATCATCAGTTTCCGAAGACTGCGATTGAAACTGTAAAATCTATCAATTATGTATGATTAATTTGGCGTAAATTGTTTCAATAAATAAATAATGAATAATATTCATAACAATTAAAAATTATCATTTGGAATAACGATGTGCAGTTTTTAGTCTATTTCTGTTTAGCTATCTAAACACCCATTAAGAAGACCAGTCTTCATTTCAATAATTCATTCAGACAGCCGTACAGAGCTATCTTTTCCAAATGTTGAGAACTGAATTTTTACTTTTTTATATCAATCACGTCCCGCATTCTACAATAAAACTTATTCCTCATTTGTGATAAGGCATAAAGAGCATTCTTTTTCAAGGTCGTCTAATTTTTTTCTTTTGGTTCAATCTTATCACGTGTAAAAATTTTAAGAAAAAATCCGCTTTTTTTTTTTTTTGAACTATTCTTTGTAAACAATAACTTTTCCATGTAAAATTCCCGTGCTTTGTTTCTTGGCAAACTCAATCTGGTGACCAATAACTCTTTTACTGATGGTATTGTGAATACCTTATCTTCAGCAAGAAGAATCACTATTGTCAGAAAGCACCAACAGGTTAGGAATCCAAGCACAAACAGGCACAATAGTAGAAACTGACGGATCCGTTTACGCCGGAATCCTGGCAGCCAGCCAAGCTTCATCAGTTCTACCGTCTTCTGTTATAACATTCGTATTGAACGATTGCAAAGCTGGTGATCCCAGTGGGAAACTGCTTTAGCATTCGATCATACAGAATCTTTAATCTATCCAACGTTTTCTCCGTAATTTCTAGATCATAGATCAAGAATTGTTGCTTTACGGAATCTGAAAGAGATGAAATGGATGAATATCTTTATAGACTTTTGAAGAATTATTCTTGTTACAAGCAATAATTGTTCAACAATATGCCACACAATAAGGATGGGAATGCATTAATTTTTTTACGATTTACTGTTTGTTATTGAACTTGTTAATCAAATATATCTTCTTTATTCCAGAACTAATACTTACTTACAATACTTATCCGTCAATCAGAGGAGCAAAACTGAGAGGGTCTTCTTTGGTGTTTCCGGGAGGATACACAAGCATAAATTGTGGTTAATAAAAAAATTATGCTCGACTAAAAGAAACACGAAATTTACGAAACAATAAAATAACAATATTTAAATAATCAGTAACAATTACAAATTCTGACTATGACCTGTCTAAAAATTTGTTGAAACAATAATTTTATGCTTTCTTATAACTTTTGGAAAGTTTAAACAAGCACGAGAAGAAAAACGAAATCTTGGGCCACTAATACGGTGAAGCAATTTAGTTCCTAATGTTTTATTACTTCTAAACACCAGTCGATAACTGAAATAAACGGTTTTTTGATAACACTTCTAGAAGTGTTTGTTAACTAAACTGTCAAACCAATTTATGTAAAAGTTTTTCTTTTTTTTTCTTTACCCGTTAACAAAACTGAAGCAAATGTGATTCCACTCATAAAATAGCTATTCCGTACAAGTTTTTACTAGTAACTTTTAGATTGAAGATACAATAGTTTTGCAGTTTTGCATACATCGATTACAGAAGAAGCATTTTGACAACTGAAAATCGAAAATGCTAGAAAACAAAAAGCAAAAAAAAATGACTAAAAATTTATTTTAGCACTGAAGTTATAAACTATTTGTTTAAAAAAGCGTTCCTTTTTAAAACTCTGTTTGCTAAACACAG